AGAGTTATATATTGGATGATGATAAGGTATTACTTTAACGCTCAGAGTATGAAATGACTCATTATTATCATGAATGAGTTGTGTATGATGATAATAAATGAATCAGGTAATCGACAAAATGGAAGAACAAATGTCCAAAGGGGGAAACATTGTAGATTTTCATTCTTGTGAATTATTGCCTGAACGATGGTTCGATAACACTATTCTATAGTGGCACGGTAATGTCTAGTTTATTATTTTTCTGAATTCTATATATAAAAAAAACTACCGAATAACACTTTAATCTTGAATAAATTATCCCCAAAACAAGATAACCGAAAACATCGAATGCGAAATATTTTAAGTTGTTCTCGAGGAGGCGAGAGAGTCGTACGCTCCGGAAAAAGTGGTGGAATTGCAGAGCAATAGCGTTGATGATATGGACAGTAACGCGTCTCGTATTGAAAAGTGGATCGAGGATTGGAAAACGAGAAAACAGTAAAACCAGTGAAACGTATAGGACTTGGATTTGACTATTTTTCGTCATCATCGTGATGTTTCAAACTTTTAACCTGTTACCTAACGGGGCGTCCTTGAGCTACAAGATCTCCACTGTCATGCTAAGATCTAATATTACATGCACGGAGCTTCGGTATCTCTAAAATTGATAAATTAAATTTTATTTATCCTAAAGCGAGTGATTAATTCAATATCAAAATTAACAAATTTATTTCCTTCTGCATCGAGGTTATATTCAATTTCTGAAACCAAAATCGTCGACAATAAAGATTTTGTATATTATAAATACTTTTTGATAATTGTACAAGTGATTCTCGTTATAGTAAAGGCGTCCGTACCATTAGTAAAAAATCTTCTATATCGAGTTTATTAGTAAATTTACCATCACTTGTATAAAATCCATAATTCAAACTATCGTCTGGCGAACAAATAATCAAAAAGTTAATATTAATTATTCATTAAAAACAATTTTATTTTCAATTCAAAATACAGTAACACTCTTTATTCGATAGTGATTTGTACTAAAATTATAACTACAAATCTTGCGGTTTATTTAAATAATTACATTTAGAAGTAAATAATAATTTGCTATCAACTTAATGAAAATTCTAAAACACACTGGGATCAAGGATATAAGCAGATAACTGTCATCTGGATTTTCATTATATGTATATTAGATATCAACACGAACCCAGTGAACGAGTCAGTATTTACACCTGAAGTTTTCTCTTCACCAGCAATTGCCAACGGCCAGAACGCGGATAAACTAATAATCATCATCTGGCTATATAACAAGTGGAAGGTGTATCAACAGACAGAAAGAATTACACACACCGTGAAAGAATAATTCCCTCTGGGCATTTCTATGTGAAGAAATGTACCCAAACAGTGGAAGGAGTATTAACAGATGGAATAAACTATATACTCCAGAAATATAATTTATCCCAAGCATTTCATTACTTTGAAGAAATGTACCCAACCAAGTCAAAGATGAAAAATATGTGGCCCAGTTTAGGGATGCTTAGAGCATAGTTTAGACTTCTGGGTAGAGTACATTCTTTAACCCCATATTATCATCTTATTGAGATCGAAATCTACCTTTTTCCATCGACGCTACGGACTCTATATATATACTATATCTATGACGCAGTATTAATAATGAACAAATCAAATAACAATTAAACACGTAATAACAAACGTGTAATTAACATTTATATCATTGGTGACATGACATGATCGCGATGACATAAACTTCAAATGATCTACATATTTTTGATTACGTGGTTTCCGTCGAAGACATTTCGTCTAGTGAGACTTCTTTGATTGTATTCGATATTTTTAACAGGTATTAAAACCAGAAAGACTTCATTTATTTCTTTAGTACAGCACTTGGCGATTACCTGACTAATGAAGACGCGTCAATTCGTGCTAAAGGTACACGTTGTTAAATGATAAACGTGCAACATTTAAACCTTATACATATATTTTTCTTTAATCTTGACAGGAACCGCGCTCTTGTCATTAGTTCTATTGGAGTGCTCTAGGGAACAAGTAAATCCTGCAGCTGGTACGGTCTAGTTCAATTTTCATTTGATAGTTAAATATGGTGCCATTGGAGGTACTGTTGATTCTTTGTACACAACGCTTTCTCAAATATATCAAGCATGCATGTGTTGTATCAAATTAGCCGAGCTAACAAAATAATAAATAATATTTAGCAAACGCCAATGAATTGGTCAATTTCTATCATGATCGATTAGCTGACGCGCCGAGTGTACCGCAGCTTTTGAAAGGTCTTGTTTCACTACAACAATTCAAACTTTTTCAAGTGAGAATGCAATCAAAATATCCAAAGCGTAAATATGATCGTCGTTTTTACTAATTTATATAATTAATTGTAGATACGTGAAAATTGCTAAATTATATCTTTTGGTTATTAGGATTTTTGAGTCAGTAAAGGTTCAAAGCTTGCAACAAACAGATCATTATATTGTATTCCAATTTTTTGCTGGATTATTGAAACGGCATTTGAATGGTATTTATTTATATCCATATAAGTTATTCCGTCCCGTGATTTGATTTCTTTTATTTAAAGTGATTATACAAAAAAATAGCTTTAAAGCAATTTCATGTTTGGATTTGTTCAAGTAATGGATGGAGAAAAAGATCCCGTCATCTTCTGGTCAAATATATAATTGCGAATTTCGATATAAGTGAACATGTTGAAGTATTTATTATTCTCTTTATATTCATTGAATATTGTAAAAACATTGGCTTTAAAATATATTCTATGTTTCATTAGGATCTTTTCGAGGTTACTTTTGTTACTTTCCAATAACTTTCAAACCACTTCCTGATGATCTTAAGGTGTGTATATACAAGAACTATTTTCTCTTTAATTTATAATACTTGATTAAAAATGCATTTATTAATTAACAGTTAATGTTTTTCTGCCACACCACATTTTTCAAATCACTATTATTAGAGAAACTCGCATCTAGTTCCAGTAATGCGAAGGTTGGTTTGATTGTATATTGTGGTTGCATTTTATCGCCAAGATTGCAATTTAATTTATCTTAATCTAGAAAGATTCCATGGAGATATTAGCAGCATGTGCACCGGTATATGGAACTAATGCCCTAACCCCATACTTGGAAGATCTTTGGGATGGTCTAAAGATTGAATGTTTAGACCAAACATAAATCATAGCTTGCCAACCAGCGAAATCATAACTAGTATTTTCTAGATCTTTCATTCGACGGACGATTCCTTAGAATCATATGCACTCGATGCTATTCGTAGCATTGTCATCTCAAATAGTGGCGCAATCCGACCCACTCGAACGATTCTTTACTACCCATAATCAATGAATGCTTGGAGAATTTAAAATTGGTTAAACATAGTGGTCATATTTTGAAATATTGCGCCATGGTTTGAGGTAAAAAAAGTTATTTTGACATTAAGCAGTATTTTAGTTTTAATTAAATGAGATAACAATAATCCTGCGTGTAATGCTCTTATGAGTTTTAGCATGCGCATTTTATTAGAGCAGTATAGAAAAAGTGAACTAATCACCTAAAAGAAAGCAATCTCGGAGGTCTTGATGCAGTTTCTTGAGGCAAGTCGAACATTATATGGCTCGATTGATGATGTTATAATGGGATATCAAGGTACTTATATTAATATTCTTCACGAATAGCTACATCCTATATTGAAACTTCAATAAAATTTACTTAATTTTTTCTAAGTTGATCCTCTTCTGGCCTACAACTCTGAGATCTTCAGCGGATCACTAATCACGATCAATGAATATAGCGAATTACGATTTATTATTCAAATTCAAAAAACAGTTTTATATTTATACAAGAATAAATATATTTGCAATAATTGTTATTTATAACAACCACATTCTAATTTGCTAATTAGGATTTGAGTTAGAATTAGGATCAAGATTCTGGATATGTGTGATTGGTTAATATTGAAGTTGTTATATTAACAGTTATTACAATTAAATTGATTTTTTACACAATATCTTGATAAAAATTTAAAATAAACATTTTTTATTATTAGTATTGTGTTCAAATTTCACAAAAAACTATTTAAAAACATTATTTATTTTTTAAAGCTTGTGAATAGTTATTTGTGTTCAAAATTTATTATGTAAAGTTCAAATGGTGAACAAGATCAATTATTATATTAAAATAATAAAAATTTACTTTTCATAGTATTATATTCATTTATTATTTGAGTAAATATAATTAATAATTAACAAGTTATTCTTATATGCAATAGATTATTGCTTTTTGATTTCAATATAAAAGAATTCTAGTTTATTATTATTTTTATTTTTTATAATAGAATTGTATTTTATTTTCATGTGTACATACTTTAATATTATTAATATTGGTACTAAAGTTTAAATCATGTGACAATTTTTTGATAATGTAATAAATATAATAATGTGAAAAGGATTAGAAATTGGCTCTAGATCAAAATTATTGGCAAACAAAAAATATATTTATAATAAAATTTCAGTTAATATTTTTTATTAGAATACAAAAAATAGATTTATAAACTAGATTTAAAATAAAAGTTTTTTTTCAAAAAATATATCTTTGTTTTATTTATTTTTGAATTATATTAATTTTGTAATTTAATTAATTATTATTGCTGATATCAACAAAAAATTATTATATAATTCAAACTTTCAGTAATTATCTTGATAAATTCTATTTTTATCATTTTAATAAATTTTAAATGAAATAAAACTTTTTAAATCTAAAAAAATAGATTTTTAATATTTTTTCTATAAATATATAATTTTATATATTTATATTAATATTTCTATGAACTGAATCGAATAAGATTTTTGTCTGGTTCAAAATTTGAACTAAACTCAAACTGAACTTTGGCTTGAGTTCAAGAAAAGTTCAAAGTTCAAACTAAACTCAAACCAAACTATTGTGCAAGTTTGAGTTTGATTCAAGTTCAATTAAAGATTGACAGTATTATATATCAATTTGTAGCTCTAAATAAAAGCTATAATTTTAATTATAAGTATCAAGTATTAATTATATTATTTAGTAAGAATTAAAAATTACTTGTAACTACTAAATTATTTTTATTTTTATAATTATTAAATTTTATTATAAATCTTATATATCTCTTTAAATAATAATAATTATCTTATATTAAATTATAGTTCTTATTTCTAATTACAACTTTACTTATAATTATAATTTATTATTATTATAACAAAATAAAAATTTACTATAAAGTAACTAAAGTGAATTAAAATTGTAAAAAGCAAAAATAATTCTTAAATCTAAATATCTTTTTGAATATTTATTTTTAATATTAATTATCTTATACTAATTTGTAACTTTAATTTTAATCTCTAATTTTATTTAGAAGCTTATTGAATATTTACTTGAACTTAAATCAAACTTTTAATTAAATTTAAGTCTGATTTAAGCTCAAACTGAATCAGATATTTTTTCAGAACTCTAGTTTGTACTATATAAATATATTAATATATAGTAATAATTAAAATGAATAGAATATTAAAACAAATTTATTAATAAAATATAAAAAATACAGATTTTTCTTTATATTATTATAATAGTAATATAAAAATTGTTAATTTCAAAAATAGTTAAAAAATATAAAATATTAAAAAATATTTATATAATAACAAAAATATCTCAACTTATTTTATTTTTTATTTTACTTTTTATTTTACTTTTTATTTTTAATTTTATCTTTTATTTTACTTTTTACTTTTATTATTTTTTTGATTAGTGATTTTATTTCTTATATAGTTATTATTATTTAAAATTATATTTCAAAAAATATATAAATAGAGATATCATTTGAGCCTTAACTTAATATTTTGTAACTGAAAATAAAAATCTTTCTTAACAAAAATCTTCTTTTAAATATCTCTCATCTTTCATATTTTTTTATATACTTCAAATTTTGTGTATAAATAATCTTATATTATATTATATCTAACAAATTGCTGATAGCTTTATATTATATTGCATTGAGCAAATTGTTGTTATTGAATTATTGAACTTTATATTATATTATACTAAATAAATTACTATATTAGAATTATTCAAATTGAATTTTAAGTATTTTAATTTTTGTTATTTGAATTTTTAATTATTAATGAATATTTCTCACTTGTAAAAAAACAAAGTGAAAGAATCTTTGTTATTGTTATTATTAATTATATTATCTTAGCTTTGAAAAGCTTTATATAAGTACTAAGGATGCTTGCCTAAATCCTTTCAGAAAAATATCGTCATAATTTCGACGGGTTACACACTAATTGTTAATT